GAGACATATACCATAATGCTCCAAAATTACAAAAAAGTATTTTGGTCTTTTTTATTATTATTTATTTATTTTTTTTTTCTTTTCTTTTTTGTGTTTTGTTTTTGTTTTCTTTTTTGTGTTTTGTTTTTTTGTGTTTTGTTTTTTGTTTTGTTTTGTTTTGAAGCTTTGTGTGAGGACAATAGCAAAATGTTTTGACACTTCTCATGCTAGATTTCATGTCAGTCAAACATCATTGGTTCTTGACTTTCTTAATTGATCGTCATTGATGTCAAACCTGGCTCTGTTCATCTTAATGCAGATTTTATCGGTACCTCACGGAAATCAATCATGTCTACAAAGGACTTTGAATAGTGCACAAATCGTAAGGCCCACTTTTATGGTTCCTTCATGATCATTTAGGGAGTTTGACAGGAAAACAGCAGCGTAATCATTCATCAAAACATCTCCTTTTGTTTTCTACTTAAGAAAAGAAAGTCACACAAACTACATTTTCACTGCATTAAATGTCACTGTAAATGAATCTGTCCTTCAACTTGTCAAAAGTGATTCTCCCTCGTTAAACTAGTGTAAACTCACCCTCCTCCACTTTAAACCGCTCTCCTCCTGGAGTTTAAGAGTCGCCCACCCTCTTAAACCCCTGCGATGGCATGGTGGGTTTCCTGTAAAGAATTCAGATGAAGAGAGAACAACAGGGTGGGTCTCCTCAGAAGAAAAACAAGCTTTGAAAGATTGACTGCTGAAGTAGGAGGGGAGGGAGGCTAATTATACACACACACACACACACACACTCAGTCTCTCTCTGAAGAACGATTCACTGTGCCCAGAGTCCATTCAATTGCTCTCTGCCTTGTTCACAAAGACCTGTCAGGATTTTGAGGGAAACAGCATTAAAGATGTGGCTTACTTAATTAGCTCATGCCATCGTTGCCGAAGTGACTTAAACAACACTTGCTCGTACACACGCGATTGTCTTCGGCGGAATGTAATGGTGGCACGGGATAACAGATTATCAGTTTGGAGAAGCCACAACATTTGTTCTGCTTCATAAAGCCGGTGTTGTTCAGCATAAGAGTGCACTTCTGAAACGCAGAGATGTAGCCGATGACTGGAGTCATTTCATTAGATGTTAAGTGGTTCCTTTTAGTGTTTTAGGTCAAGTTTGTTTGGATGCTTTTCTTTTTAATTTTTTTAAAGGCATATTATACCTCCCGTAAGACACTGATTACAGACCGTTGAAATGATTTGCAGATTTAGATTTGTGCGTTTTTTGATGGAAATGTGAGTGGAGCTTGTTGACATGATGATGGGGTGTCAAACATAAGCTTTTCCTCCTCTGTCCTTCAGATTTCTTTTGCTTTTTGGGATGAGATGCTAGTGAGTGTGGTTGAGACAGGTATGTGGTATGAGTTCGTCCCCCATCAGAGGAAGTGTGTTGTTTGAGGATAATAAAGGGGCGTGGCTTCATTTACACTCCCATCATACCGCCAATCACTGCTGCTGTAAGTTTCAATACATTTAAATGTAAGTTTTAGTCTTTGGCTTTACATAAATAAAATACTCGCAGCACTTGTTTTGCTGCGTTTTGTGTTGATTCTTATGCGGAACTGCCATAAAACATTGTCTTTGCAGCATTAAGGTAGATATAGATTCAATTATGAAAGAAAAAAAACATCAGTATGTAAATTAGCAATGACTAACATTGTGGCTCTAATTTTAATGTTAAATTTCTTGAAATGTCTATAGTTTACAGAAACCTGACGTGAATAGCCGCTGAGACTGAAATTATCTACCAAACAAAGTTGCAGAGTAATTAAAATTCTTTGTAAGATTTTGTGTAATAATGTGATGATATATATTTTAGATATTATAATAAGTAAATGCATTAAATGATATATAAAATGCAAATAGAAAACCAAAAACAAAGTATTTCAGATATATATAAAATATATTTCATTTTCAGCTTTTATAAAAAAGTTATTTGGAGCAATTGTATACTTTTATTTAATAATGTGATAATATATTAGATATTATGTCACTTAGATATTATGTAATTTGTTATTTGTATATTCTTATTCTTATTCTTATATTATATAAACATTACATTGCATTAAAATTGTATGTATATATGTGTGTGTATATATATATATATACATTTTTAATGCATTTAATTGAAATATATTACATTTTTTATTGAATTTCTAGCATCTAGCATATATTTATTATATTATAATAATTTATGTAAAATTTTATGCAATTATGTAAGTTCACATATACTGTATGTGCTTTTAATGCAGTATATATATATATATACATTTTTAATGCATTTAATTGAAATATATTAAATTTTTTATTGAATTTCTAGCATCTAGCATATATTTATTATATTATAATAATTTATGTAAAATTTTATGCAATTATGTAAGTTCACATATACTGTATGTGCTTTTAATGCAAATATAAAAATATAAATTGTATTTGGCTAAATATTACATGTTTGTTAATATTATTAAATAATATTAAATACTTAATTATGAAATTAGTAACAATTTTATTTAATTTCCAGCTGTGTGTGTTCTTTTTTTCTTTTACTCAATTAATTACTAATTAGTCACTCAACTTTGTAATGATGAAAATGTAAATGTACACTCTAAAAAATGCTGGGTTATATATAACCCAGTGCTGGGTTAAAAAGGGACAAACCCAGCTATTGGGTTGTTGTAAACTTGCATTGCCTTGCCTTTGTGGAAAATTATTTGTAACATGAATTTCTATTGTTTTGTTCATTGAACAAATGAACTAAACAATAGAAAAATAAATGTGATTAATATAATATATAATATAAAATTAACATTTACACACATATATATATATATATATATATATATATATACAGTGGG